ATGCACTTAACGGAAGAATGTAGGTACATTGGCTTGTATGATGGTTTCTGAGTGGAAGTTTTTAAAGGTTGTGCAGGAAATTGAATTTCATTATCAGGTTGAAGGTGTTTATTTGGCCAGTTTAAATATCCAACCTACGATACTACAACAAGTTAGATATGCTCAGTTGACTGACTATACATTATCGGCCATTAGGAGAGACACAGGGCAAGGTTTAAAGCCAAGGTTCAGAGTGTCGGATGATGGATTACTTAGATTTAATGGCAGGGTGTGTCTCCAGTAACGATGAATTAAAGAAAGGCATTTTGATTGAGGCTCACTGCTCCAAATTCGCCATGCATCCGGGTAATACTAAAATGTATCGGAATTTGATACCTCGATTTTGGTGGAATGGTATGAAAAGAGACATCACTAAGTATGTTTCTAAATTCCTTACTTGTCAGTAGGTGAAAACATAATAGTAGAGTCCTGATGGACCCCTCCAACTTTTGCCGATTTCTGAGTAAAAATGAGAACACATCACCATAGACTTCGTGATTGTATTGCCTAGGACCCGAGCAGGCCATGATGTTATATGGGTGATCGTGGATAAGTTAACCAAGTCCTCCTGCTTCCTGGTAGTGAAGATCACAAACTCTTTGGATAAGTTAGCTAAAACTTATATCTGTGAGATCGTAAAATTACATCGGATTCTAGTTTCAGTGATATCCGATAGAGATCCTAGATTTACCTCTAGGTTTTGAACAAGCTTTCAACAAGCCATGGGCACCTAGCCATTCTTCAACACTACTTTTCATCATCAGACAGATAGGCAATCAGAGAGAACCATTCGCACATTGGAGGATATGCTACAAACATGTATTTTAGATTTTGGTGGATCTTGGGATGACCATTTGCTACTGATAGAATTTACTTATAACAACAACTACCAGGCAAGCATTGATATGGCCGTCAATGAAGCATTGTATAGCCGGCCTTGTAGATCACCAATCTACTGGGAAGAAGTTGGAGAAAGGAAGTTAATTGGCCCAAAGTTAGTAGACGAAACTACTGTAAAGATTGGTAATATCAGGAAGAACATTAAGGTAGTTCAAAGTAGACCAAAAAGCTATGTGGATAAATGAAGAAGGAATCTTGAATTCGAGGTAGATGATCATGTTTTTTTTGAAGATCACATCTCTCAAAGGCATCAGTAGATTTGAGAAGAAAAGAAAGCTAAGCCCTCGATTTATTGGCCTATTTAAGGTTTTAGAGAGAATTAGAGCAGCTGCCTACCGACTAGCATTGCCACCGGAGCTATCTCAAGTTCATAACATATTCTCTGTATCAATGCTACAAAAGTACAATCCTGATCCATCTCATGTGATACCTTACAGGCCTCTTTCAATTTAAAAGGACCTATTCTATGAAGAAGTTCTTGTCACCATCTTGGACCGAAAGGAGAAGGTGCTTCGAAACAAAGTGATTCCCCTAGTCAAGGTCTTGTGGCGAAACCATACTCAAGAGGAAGCCACTTAAAAGCTAGGAATGGAATTTCGAGACAAGTATCCCCATCTATTTAATGTTTTATAATTTAGATTAACTTTGTATAACGATATTTTATATTAATAAAATAAATTTGAAGGAATAAATTTTTCTTAAGGAGGAGGGATTATACCAGACCCAAAACTGACGTCATTTAGGGAAACCCCCAAACCAACATCGTTTTAGGTAATAAGAAAAAAAAAACCAGAGGTGTTTGCCTCTGGTCGAGGAACACGAAGAGGCAAAAGCGTGTACGCCTCTGTCACCAACCAAAAAAGGAGGAGAGGAGACCTGCACGACAGGGGAGAATAATCGTGCAAGACTCCTCCCGCCCCTCCCTATAAAAATGAAGGGAGGGAACGCAATCGGTGCAGGAAGAGAGAGAGAGAAAAAGAGAGAGAGAGTGAGAGGAAAATAGAGGGAGAAGGCTACGACTACCGTCAGTCGGCAGCCAAGAGAGGAGAGGAGGAAGGAGAAGAGAAAAAAGGAGGAAAAAAGGGCAGTGCTACGCACAATGATGTGCGAGAGAAGAGGACGGTCTGCGTGGCGGTTCCGAGTGCATTTGGTCATTATGCGGCTCCCTTTGGTCATTATGCGGCTCCCTTAGGGCCCAAGGCTGTCTGCGGTGAATTTCGGCCAATCCGCAGCGGTGATCGGCAGTAAGCGGCAGCAACCAGCGGTGGGCGGCGACGACACATGGCGGTCCAGTGACGGCGCATGTGGAGGCGCACAGTCTTCCGGTGGTTGTGCGCAGTGAGTCCTAGAGACCCAGTTTGGGTAGGTGAGTTCAAACAAATCCTGATGGTTTACTGTTTTATATTTAAAGTTTATTAATCCTATTTAATTTTAATA